GGGTCAGGTCTGATTTTTGCGCCAACTCTGGCACTGATTTTTGCGCCCCCCCTAGCCAGGCGCCCGTGTGCAGTGAACCCGCTGCACCCGCCTTAGGCCGGCCCTGATCACAGCTGCCATACCCATCCTGGCCAAAATTTTCCACCAAGTCGGAACATTCCAGGTGATCCATTCTGACTGCGCCGCCATTTTTCAATCCCGGGCCTTCCGTTGTTTCTTGAAGGAGCACAACTGCAGACAGCATCTGGCCCACGGATACCATCCCGAGGGCAACGGCACCTGCGAACAAGCAATACGGACATTGGGGCAAATACAAGCCAAGCTGGTAAAAGGGGACTGCACACATTGGGACAAGCACTTACCGCAATTGGTACTGGCATACAACCAAACCCCTCACAAATCCACCGGGGCATGTCCGGCGGAGATCTTCTTTGACACAGCCATCCAGCTCGACGCAGACAATCTTTTCAGCATCCAAGCCACGCGCACAGTCCACCACGAGCAACAGGTCCGCCGGCACAAGGATGCAGCTCGGAAGACATTTGCAGACCAGGCCAACAAGCACAAATGGCCCAAATTTGAAGCAGGGGACATGGTGACCATCTGACCACGCATCCCAACAACCATGCAGCACGCCGCACGATGCCGTTTCCATAAGCAGCGCTTCGGACCATTCATGGTCATCCCTTTTCAGGGGCACGGAGTATACCGCATCAGAGTCCGCAACGGCACGTACAACGCAAAGGACTGGGAAATGCAGCCGTGGAACCAACTACCAGGACCGCCACACGAGGGGTTTGACAAACTGTTTGCGATGCAGGACAAGCAGAAGTCCCACACAACCACAACAGAGGCACCCAATCACGCATACGCGGCATGCAACACAAACAACTGCGCACACGCCTACTGCCGAGCTGTACACTGTCGAACATCGGGCCCATGCCTGATGCAACCACTGGCAACCGCCGCTTTAAATACGGCGCATCATTCTGGGTCAGTCGCTCTTTTTCAGGGGGGGGGAGAGTAAGCGCCGCCAATAACCATCAACGATGCTACACGAGATAAGAGGACAACGGACCATGGAAAAACACCCGCCGACAAAAACACCAAGAGAACAACAAGCCAAATGACCACGCTTCCGGAGGCCAAAGCCCCCGACCGAGGACACAGGAAGGAGCACCGTTAAATGGCCTAGTGGGGAGAAGTGGACATAGGCATCGACCCTGTATAAAAGGAAGAACCTCAAATGAACAACACTCACTCAAATACTGAACCTCATGTACTGACTGTTCATGCTGTGTATACCCTTCTCATCTGTGTTGTGAACTCATCTGTCGTCCGTCAAGAGAAATACATCCGTGTACTTTTGTGTACTCCTGACTAGTCCATTTCCCAAAGGATCTTACTTTTTTGTCATTCAAGTATTAAAAAGTTTTAACCTCCAGCTTCTGTACTGATCAGATTTGAAAGTGCAAACCTTCCTGAACTGTGGTTTTAAAAGTTGATACAGATGGGGCTCATAACTTGACTTACTGTGAGGACAGTTTGACAATTTTATTGAACAAGTACATCCACATCATAGAAGTACCTTGAGGCAGGGCCAGATTAAAGCAGGTGCTAATGATGCTGCAGGATTATGGGTTCACCAGGGGATTAATAGGCCTTATGTAAATTTTAAAAATCAGCCAACTTATGGAGCATCAATAATTTAAGAATAAATCTGAGGAAACCTGACACAAATAAAAATTTGTAGCATGCAAACTGCATATGTTATTGGATGAAAACAGGTGTACTCTCATGCCTGCTTTTACTGCTTGCATACACCTGGATTATTTACTAGGATTGCAAAATTTAAAAAAAATCTATACATTGGTGACTGGCCTATCAAACACAAGCATGCAGTTCCAGGACTGCGTTTGCTAGGTGGAACATTATTTCTAGGGTAAGTAATTTTTTCCCTTGAGGGCCAATATAAAATCCACTAATTGGTTCCTGTAAATGAAATCTACTGCTAACATGATAAAAAATTGCCTGAATTTTAAGAAATTAAAAGAAAAATACTTTAAAACACCTGAAGTTTCTTCTGAAGATCTTCCTATTTAAATCAGCTAGATGCTCTCCATTCTGAATGACATATAAAAACTGTACCAATTGTACTTCATGCATATGCGACATCTATGAGTGAAGTAGGAGTCAATCCTCTGTAATGACTATGCATAGATGTCACTTTTGCATGAGGTACAAGCACTGGTTTGACCTCTTGCAATTTAAACCAGAACTATAGGGCTAACTGGCACTTGGAATTTCCCAAAGTCAAAATATTTTCAAGTCTATGTCTGAATTTCATTAGAAACAACATGTATTAAAACCTCCCTGACTCTCACACTTTCCCCTCAAACCTCCATACATTGGATTCTGGAGTCCATTTATTCTATTATCACAGGAAATATGAAAGACATAAAAATGTTACAATGCCAAATGAAAGCCATAAAAATGAACTTTTACTAACTTTTGAAAGGAAGTGCAGGATCTATGAGGCAAATGAACCTTTGCCTCCAAGTTCTGCATCCTGTCAACTAATTTAGGAAGCAATTTTATGCCTACAATATCATCAATTACAATTTCCTTCCATTCTTCTCACTTTTCCTCAACAAAAATGCTTGAGAAACAACCATTTTTGTTGAGGGGAAGAAACAACAGCATTTATTTATTTTTTAATATATATTTTTAAGGGCAGGCCAGCAAAAATTTGCAAGGCAGGCCAGTGTATGCTAGGAAAGTCATTTATTTATTTTTCTGGTGTTAGTTAGGCAGGTTGTTTATTTGCCTGTGCATTTGCTAGGCAAGGCATCACATATATAGTAGATGACTATGCTTATGAAAATGGCATTGCATGTGTCAAAAATTCTACCATTGTATGTTGGCTTCTTGTCAAAATCTCATTCCAATGAAAACAGGCCAATATACTGTCTTTTAAAACTGCTGGCCTGTATTTGTTAAAAAGTAGTCTCCTGATGCAGAAAGTGTCCTGTTCTTGTAGAAAGCAAACTCTTTTAGAGTATGATATCTTGTACATGAAGGGGACTCTTGTCAAACTGTTAAAATCTATCTAATAAGGACTCACCACCCTGGAAAGCTTGAAAAATTCTTTGTAAAAACCCTGAATGTATACCTTTTTCATACACTAAATATGACACACTAAATATGAATGTATATTTCATGCATTGACATAAATATACAGTACTGCAACAATAGTTTTTGCAGCAGAATTTGATCCTTTTGTCAAAAACTCCTGTCTTCATGAACTGGTCAATTATTGTATTTTTGTTGAAGCCTTGCCCTGATCAAAATTAGATTTTTGTATCTGAATAATACAGGCAGTGTCCAAGAAATTATCTTGTCTCAATAAAAAATTGTCATCAAGACCTATACAATATTTTTATTGCTGAACAATCTTGGTCATTCTAAACCCATGAAACCAAATTTTTGGAACCTTTTGAAGCTAATTTCTTGTTTGAAGTATTACAATGCCCAAGTTCAATGAAACTGATGTCAAGCAGGCCTCAGAAGAGGCACTTGTCAAACCCACAATTGAATACAACTTGTCAAATGCACTTATTGTCAAACCACATTTAAGAAAATATGCCTGACATCCAAAAGACCCATGGAACATCCCATAATTTCATTTCCCAAATATATGGAGAAATAATTTTTTCTCACATGGAGTCCATGCTACACCACTTCCTGCATAAGGGATTTATTCCTGAGTCTTGAAGTCACTCATGCGCGACCACAGGAGAGAGAGTGTTGGCAGCAGAGCGTGAGGGGATGCAGGGCGCAGTGGCAAAGAGTTTAGATGACCAAGAGTTCTGCTCCGGCGAGATGGGGCCTCACCGTGTAAATGCGTCCCTCTCATGAATTGGTCATGAAGTGGTTCAATTCAGACGAGCTTGGTTCCTGCCCCGCATGGTGTGGTGACCATGCCTCTACGAAGCTGAACAAACTTCGACTTGGTGAAAGGAATTGCTTAGGTTTGTGTGCAAGTAGTAAGACCAGAAAGTAGGGATAGAACCACCGTCCGATTCATCTATTGGATGTGATGTATGGAGGGGATGTACAGTACTTCAGCTGCAAAATTTTTGAGCCGAATCACGGTAGCTGTGGCTGTGCCCTATATCTACAGAAGGCAACGGCGTATCTTGCCTGATTATGCCCCTAAATGCTGGTAATATATATTCATGAGTTTTCATCGGATACTCATGTAGCTCTGTTGGATGTAAACTTTCAGCTTTCTCATCCGGAGGGTTCCATTTTTGGCTCTTACTCTGCATGAAAAATCCAGGTGCCTTGATGAAGGAGCTCCTTAGCTTTAGAAAGGAGTTCTCTGCAGTAACGTCGTTTTAGGAGAGGAGAAGGTATTTTCCTTCTGGATCCCGTCATGCAGCTTTGCTTTGCGCATCATAGCTTTCTGACAATTCGGGAAACAAATGACTGCGTGCTGACGAAAGTTGATCTGGGCTTTCTCAGATTGAATCGGATTTGTACAAGGTGATGTTAGATCCAACGGAATGTGCTGAGAAATCAGCGTACGATGGATGAGGAATAAAAGTGCTATAGTATCAAGCTTGCAAATAGACTGGGAGCTTCCAGTGGCTTTGAACTATTCTGATTCTCAATTTGTTTCTCTCTGTCCAACTGATCGACGAAAAATTGACTGAATCTTATAAGGCGCATACGCGTAAGAAAGAATTCTGCCATACGCAAGCTCTGACATCTATGAGATACTACAACGATTAAGGAAAGTACTACAGTATTTGCGGTGTCTTCTACATCGGTCTGCTTGATAAGATTGCGGTAATACAGTACAGTAGTAGCTTCGGCATACGATACAAGCTTCAAGTGAGACGGCGAGCACAGTAGTGGGGTTTTCATCGCGCAGTCATGCTGTAGGGAGAGCACAGGCGCAGGTGTTGTGAACTTGCGACCGAAAAAGAAGGCTGCTACCTCTTACGTCTTACCTGTGTTGGGGTTTTATGCAAGCGTGCTGGATATCTCGTTGCCGTGTGCAAATTTAAAAAAAATATTTATTTTGAAAAGAAGGTGTTGGAGAGAAACGGTGAAGGAGGCTGCGTTTCCGGTTATGAAAAAAAGCAATGATCGCCATCTTTGATTGACTGGGTTGGTGACTTGATTCGTGTTAAAAGTGATTCATTTTCAGCAGTATGCTTTTTTTTTATACCTGTTCCATGATTGATCGAAATTTGTGTCCTTTGTGAGCGATGGCAATGTTCTGGTAGAAATATGATGGTGAATGCGTATGGTCGTATCTCATCATCGGATTTTTACTGCTGGGAGTCATTTTCCCTGGAATTGTGTGATTTTTCTGGTTGCGAGTGTGTTTCTTCGGAAAGAGAGCGGAGAAGTTCGTGGGTGAGGATGAATCATTCCCGAATTTATTCTGAAAGGGAGCGATTACGTGCATGGTTGTGAGTTTCTCGCCATTGCTTGAAGCAAGCCGCGCACGTTCTCTGATCGTGTACAAGGACTGAGACTGGTGTACACCAGTCTCAGTCCCAAAGATGAATCCGCTCTTTCCCGTCATTGCGGTGTTCGTGCGGTTCAAAACAAGTGCAGTTTTAAGTTTGCAATCCATGGCTTGTCCTTCGCCTAGCAAGTGAAGTGTCTGATCTTGATGTGAGCAAGGCACTAGTCAGAATATGATAAAAACAACCTGATGAGCTTATTGAGACGGTCGGGTATATCTCATTGCCAAGTTTCTGTTTGCTGAAGCTTCTGACGTTTGCTTTTCCAATCGCAGATGTGTGAAGGCGTGAGTGTTCATATCTTGGGATTGAAAAACTAGGTGAAAAATGTACTAAGATGATGATGTAACTTTGGAACGCTGCTTTAAGCTGTGATTGTTTTAAGTTCTCGAATTTGAGCTTACGTTAAGCGTCTAAGGAGTAGGTAAAACATTTGAAAATGAATGGTGCACCGCAGCAGTTGCCCTCTCTTCCGCCAAATCCACCTGGTCAAGCAACGAAATCATTTTCGGAAGAAGCCGGGGGTTCTACGGTTAAAGTTGTGAGTCCTTTGCCGTGGTCCTCGAATGCTGGTAGTCGAATTGCGCCGGTTGTTCCTCCAAAGCCAAAGAAAGGGTTTTACTCGGTGAGTTTCTGTCTCGTTCTGTGTGTCATGAGGAGGAATAATTTCCGGTCATGCTTTGCTCATAGGATTCTGGCGAAGGGCTTTCACATTCTCGTGATGACTTGACATCCGTGTATGGTTCGCACGTCTACGAAACCATTCCGTCTGGCCAAAAAGCTATGCCGCAAGTTCCAGCTCCTCAAAAGAGTGCCGCACCTATCCCCTGGTCTACAGCTTTGAAAACGAAGAACGCTAGTGATGGATTCAGAAGCGTATCGTTTGGAATCAATCTTCGCACAAATCCCGGTGCACAAGCCATAATAAGCTCATCGAAATTGCCTTCTGCTGGAGCAGACTTGAATGACAGTGATTTCCGTGATTTGCATAAAGCTCAACCGGCACAAATCGAAGACTTGCCCAGTTCACACGTTGTCTTCAAACCTTCAAAAGCAGGAGGAAATATGTATTCTTCGTTTCTCAATAAACCTGATTTGCACAATCAGAGCGTCATTTCGTATCATGACTACGAAAGTCTGGACGCGACTCTTGGTAAGATAATTCGTTGATTTTGTCACTGGAGCCAGACTTTTATTCGTAGTTACTTGGAATTGCGATTTCACCTCGTGTTGCTATTTTAATCCAATCACTCGTGGTAAACTTTGAATATAACGTAGAAAAGCCACTATGAGAGAATTCTTCAAGTTTGATGAGCATAACAGTATTTATGGGTTCAGAACTTTCATGATGCAGTACCGGGCTTCAGTAGCTTCAAACTGGTCTATTCTGCATAGAATTGGTCCTCCTGCAGATTTTATGCTGGTGTAATGTGTCACGAAATGTCCACATTTGCTCTTGTGACGGAATGCTCTGTACTGTTATACAAAAACGGTTATTTCCTCTGGTCCTCTCCTAGACCTGTGAATCATCGAGCTTATTCCGATATTGCTATAAAGTGACCTCGTTTCCCGGTACGGTTTGAACTTCAGAGCGTTCAATCCGAATTTTTGTGAGCCTTCGTTTCTCTTCCCTTTTTGAAATCCAATTTCAAGTTCTTTCAGCAAGTATGATTGTATCCTGCTTTCAAGTATGACCGAGGTGATCAGGGCTTAATTAACATAACGAACAATGTTGGTGATATGAAATAAGAGAGAGAGGCACTATTGCCTGGGACTGTATTTCTAAGCTGGTCATTATCCCGGGTAGTGTTCTCTTGAAATTCAAATCGAAACCCTCTTGTAATTTTAAGATGAGGACAGAAGAAACGAACGTTTTTGTGGAACAGTAGAAAGAATCCCACTACAAACGCAAGTGTGGGAATGTTATGACGCGTTTGAAATCACTCGGGAAGAAGCTGTTTGGAAGGCAATTTTTTAAAAATGTAGTCTCTTAAAAAATCTCACAGAGAATAGGCAGTGTTCCCGCTGAAAGCGTATACAGCACAGTAATTTTGACGATACTGATACCAATGTGTATTTCATATTATGGGATATGACGCACTAGACCAGTACAGCATTAGTCAATGATTAATCGCCTTCTGAGTATTGTTCGATCGCTGCAGCCGTAATTGACACGTTGGATTTTTGTTTAAAGACCTTTCTGGCGCAGATGATCTGCCTCCCCCACCACCTCCAGACATGGAAGCCAACATTCCCACCTATACATGTGTTGGGGAAGATGCATCCTTCTCTAGTAATTTCCCTCCGCCACCTCCACCGGAAGAGCTTGCTGTACCACCGCCTCCTCCGCCACCATTAATGATGAAACCAACCATTGCTCCGACGATTGGTCCGAAAGCTGTTCCGCATCCAATGAAATCTGGTTATTCGAACGACAAAACAATTCCTGCCAAGAACACTTATTCCAGCGCTCCTGTGAAGCCGTACTCCCAACGACCTAGTATCGCGGTGAGATATTTTTTCGTTTCTTTGAAGTTTTTTTTATTCTTGGCTCGCCCGGTTCACCTTCAAAGCTGACGAAACATTCAGCGTGGGCCGACATTGTTAAAAGATACGATTGATTGACCTGTTCTCGTCCGTAAATGTACATCGACTGTTCTGCTCCTGCGTAGAACCGTAAAAACGTGACTCGGAAGTTGATGTTTTTTTGAGTATCGATGTACTTTGCTATCGTTTGCCCCAGTGTCTATCTGTAAACTCTCATATTATGCGTAAGGTTATATACAATTTCGCGTATTCGCTCGAGTTCTCATTTTGTGCTGTGTGGAAGTTCGAAGAGATTCCAATAAAAAAATGAGTAACGATTTGCGGGAGTGAGGAGAACCATCGGATTGCGGAGAAGTTGCTCTCTGTCCTAAAACTCGGTTCTGGAGCTGTCCGGAAAAGGAAGGCTCTTGAGTGGATAGCCTTGTGAAGAGGGAGCGATACAGCTCCCTCGGACGTGAGCCCTCTGGCTTGCGTCCGAGGTCGCGGAGCTCAATGCATTCTCAGTTGGTTTTGTAACTCATAGCTGACTTCACGCTTGTTGCGGTGGTCAGCCGATATTTTTGGTTTAAATGGAAGAAATTGAGAAATTTTGAGCGTTAATGCTTTTTGTGCGATTGGTACTGTACAGTATTCACAAAACGGAAGCGTGACGATTGTCGCTGAACCATGTTTTGATCACTTTCGCGTCCTATCTCGAAACGACAAGTACTCTACATTGACGCTCTGCTTCCGGCGTTGTGGGAAACCTTATCGATTCTGTAGAAAAGTTTTTCTTTTCGGCGCCATGAATAGTTCACGTCTTGTTTGTGCGGGAAGCCGGGTGAGAATTATTTTTTATCTCGATTTTGTGTTTGCCTTTTTCGCTCTTCCCTTTTGTTGATAACGAGTGTGAGCTCTCCTTTTCTGCGGGGTTAAAATCTCGTGATGATGGCATTACCTCCTTTCTATTAAAGAATTGTAATTTTATTATTGAATTATTTGTTACGTTATTATCATTTGAATATTTCGTTCAATATCTTTCCCTCTTGCTTTGACTAAAGTTTTGGGTGGAATAACCAGTGTACAATGCAATCCAGTCCCTTTTTTTTTGCTCGACAATGATTTGTTTTGCAACTATAATTAAATGTAATGCAATGGATTTCTGCTTTGTCTTCTCAGGCCCCAAGTCAGTAGTTTGATGCCTTTTATTCTATTTTCACTGCTGTGCTGTATTTACCAAATTTCAATGCGCAACTTCCATAAAAACTGAAAATAAAGATAAGAAATTGTATCGAGAAGAATGCGACTTATCAAGTTCGAAAAAAAAACTGCCGTGATCGCATTTGATTTGGGTTCTATTCAGAGGCAGGTTTTCATGATCCAGTAGATTATTTCGCTCTTGTATAATAACAGTAGACAATTCTAGAATTGGACGAAGCTTAATTTTTAATGTTGTAAACGTTTAGGAATTTTTCGTCCTTGTGGAACATCCAGAGATTATATCTAGAGTTCGCATAGCGTTATAGAGTATTTCCGACATTGAGACGGATATCTTCAGGTTTAAGCCGCGCCAGTGTTTCTGAGCGCAGATCTCGAAGGAAAGAAGTGTCATGTGGTCATGTAAGCACTTCATTCATTTCCTTGAAATTCTTTTTAATCTTCGAAAATCGGTAGGTGACCCCAGTATTTTTGGTTCCTCTTCATAAAGGAAGTGATATTTTTTCATGAACGACGTAAAAAAAAAATGAATCATGAATGAATTCGAGATAAAATAATGAATTTAGGTGAATGAATTTGCTTTTCGTATAGCGCGCTCATTCAAGTGGATTCCTGCATCTGATCAATCTGAATAAATCCTGAGTTATGGGCTATGAACAAAGTAACCTCTGACCTGAATCTCTGCCGCCGAGTCTTTTTGAACGTACTGTAGTGTACAGTATTATTGAATGAGGTATTCCTTTTTAGAATATAGCTGGTGCGGGAACCCAGCAAAGACCATCGGCGGGATACGCCGCCCCGGGGGTGACGACTCAAGGAGCTCGGTCGATCAACATCGCTAGTTCTCGGCATGTCCAATCCAATCCTGTTGAGGTGAGACACACATCATCCGCTCTCATCCTACCTCTGATCCGTATGCGGCGACCTCGTTGGATTTAATGCAAGTCTATAAACCTTGAATTATTGTGACCTGTCGCATCGGTTACGTGCACGATTCTGTCCAGTACTGTACCCGTAACTAAGTACGTTCTGTATTGCGCACTGCCCGACTTTATCTGGTTCCCGGGAGATTTTCGTAGTCTTTATAATTTTTTTTTTTTTATCGGCAGTTATGACGAACACTGCCGTAATTCAGAATTATTTTCAAAAGAAATTTAGGTCATAATCGAAATTCACTGATCAGGAATAATTTTGATCAGGAAACGATAATAAAGCGACGATGCTTTTTCTTACTATGTACTCCCGTCCAATCGAGTTTTACTGGTTCCCAGGAGGTTTCCGAGCTCTTTTTTTGTGAAGATGTTCGATCTTCTGTTAACGAAAACGCTGTCGTAATTCAGCATTATTTTCTGAAGAAAATTCAGGTTGTCATACAGGTTAGTGATGATGAATAATTTTGATGATCAGGAAGCAATGGTGAAGCAACGATTATTTTTCTCATTACTCTGGTCCAGTCTTGTAACACTGTAATTTTCATGGCCAGATTTTGTCGGGGCTTTAATTGGGTAGTCGAAAGTGTCAGCTTGTCACGATGGACCTGAAGATTTTCGTTGATCGAATGTAAGAACTTGTTTTCATAGGCAGCGAAAAAGTCGGCGATGGCGTTTCCCACAGGGACTTCCAGCACGCCTACTGCGAAGGTTGTATCTGTCGCGACTGCGGATACTCCGAGAAAAGGCGACGAGGTGGATAAGTTGACGGAACTGCTTGTTCAGTCGATGACCGAGTCTGACGCCGATTCAGCTGGTGAGATCAATTAGTCGATGATAACTTTGTGATGAGTGGGTCATGCGTTTCTTTTTGTTTTCAATTTTAAATGATCGTAGCTAAAGGTGAACATGGGAGATAACTTTTTCACTTCGTTTAGACTCGGATGACGGAGGAGTAGGATAAAATCGGTCTGTGGAAATGTAACATTTCAGGCTTACGAAATAATTTTCCTGTGAATGCAACGTCATAACTTATTCCTCGTATGTTCCTAGTTCCTCTCTTTTATTCAATATCTCCTTCGTCATTTGAATCGATTTATGGGGAAGCGGGTTAAAAATAAGAGGAGACAGAAGTTTGCAAATGCACTCCTCCCTTGTCTCCGAAGTACTGTAATTGTAATATTCACTCGCACTTCTTCCATTGTTCACCAGTTTTACCAAATGCTACCATCAGATTAAGAATCACTTTGAAGGGTATTTCTGGTAAGTACTGTATATGTCCGTGAGACACATTTTCGATCTTGACAATTTTGGTGTTGGTGAAACCGAAAGTGAGGATTGTCTTCTGTCAACTGGAGGGCTCGAAATACGGCTGAAAAGAAGGAGAAAACGTTTTATGAAAAGACGACTCGTTCCGAACTGCTTTTTTGATCCCCAAGTGGCTTGGAGTACCTTGATTAATATGGACTCTAATTCTAGAGATCTAGACAGAGCTTGATTCCCAACGTTATTTTGATTAGTGGATTGATGGTTCGGAAATTTTAAATGTAGTTCGTGGAGATTTCCTATATCTGCACGAAAATTAGGTTTCCTAAAAGGTGAATCACAAGAAAAGGTTTTCTCTCATGTGTGAAGACCTTTTGAATTATTTGAACTTACTGACAAAACTTGATGAACCAGAAACCTTATTCTTTCGTTGCTTCCTTCCAGTGTGTACCGTTTAGTTTATCTGAAGTATTTTTTCTCCTCAAGAAGGAAGCTGTCCTCTGAAAAACAAACTCATTCACAAGGCCTTTGCTTGTAGGTGATGGTCACGTGCATTTATCATTTTTAAAATTCTGGTACTTCGCTGAAGTAGGATTCATCTTGCTGAACCACTTTGAATAATTCCATAGGTTCTCGTTCACCTTTAGAAAGAATACCTTGTCTTTATTCGGAAGTAATAGTACTATTGATGTTTCGTGACAGTGACGCGGCTTTATTCAAACTTGATGGTACAATCGCCAATCCACCGCAATGACGCTTCATTTCTTGCTTGTTCGTAGGCACGTGCCAAAGATGTCGGAAGAAAGTCGTGGGCGAGGGAGCTGGATGCGTGGCCATGAATCAAGTGTATCACGTTTTGTGCTTCACTTGCGCCGCCTGTGGTAATAGATTGATTCCATTGAATGAGGAAAATTTCATCACGAAAACGTCTTTGATTTCCTCAACTATAGAAAAGACTCTCGAGGGAAAGCCATTCTTTGTCGTGGACGCGAAGCCGCACTGCGAGGAATGCTACGTTGTGAGTTAATACAGTACTCGCTGCGTTTGAGACAAGATTGATCGATTTCTTTCTTCGTTATCAGGAAACCTTGGAAAAGTGCTCAGTCTGCATGAAGCCGGTTTTGGATCGCATTCTTCGTGCTACGGGAAAGCCGTACCATCCGAAGTGTTTCTGTTGCGTTGCATGCGGTAAATGTTTGGATGGGATTCCTTTCACTGTGGACGCGCACAATCAAGTGCACTGCATTGCTGTGAGATCCCGTTTTAATCATGAAGTGGAAAATTTGTTTTGAATTTCGTCTAGATAATCATGATTTTCTGGATTCAGGATTTTCATAAGAAATTTGCACCGAGGTGCTCCGTGTGCAAGGAGCCAATCATGCCAGAACCAGGCGAGGAAGAAACTGTTCGTGTCGTTGCTTTGGATCGAAGTTTCCACGTGAAATGCTATCGCTGTGAGGTGAGTTGGTAATAATTTCGGAAGAACGGATTATCAAAGATTTGGTTAGGCGTGCTGGAAGTTATATTCATTGCGAAGAGTCACCGCTGGCCGTATATCGATTAATTTCAACATTAATTGCTGTATTCGTTTATGGCCGAATGACAATTCCATCCAATGCACTTGGCTGGTATGTTTTACTGCGAGGGATACGGTGGCCATTTGTTACAATCATTTTACGATTACGCGATTAGATGCCTCGAGGGAAATCGCTTATCCATGATATTTTTTTTCGAACGCGGAAAGGTGCTAGTCATCAACCCGGATGCAGTAATCGTATTTCTGCGATTAACTGTGGGATGAGGTTAATATTGAGACAAGTCACAAGAAACTTATCAGCACGACTGCGCCGCAGTACATATTCTTCTCTGCAAGTTCATGTAGTTATGACCTTTTTTTAGTAATTAATAGTGTACTGTAGTGTTAATAAAACTGTACAGTATTGATTATCAGTAACTGTAGAGGAATTTGTTGCTTTAAACTTTGAAGAACCTTCGACTAATGACAAGGGACGGTTATGCGGTGTTATGAGAATCTTGCCAAAGCTGGTGATAAATCGTGAACCTATCTCATTACTGGGGAAAGCTCAGTTTTCAAGAAATCAGATCAGCGGGCCATTCGGTAGAAGAAAGACTGTTGTATTGAAATTTTTGTGAGAAGTTGGTCGTGTTGTGAGACTTATCGTACTTACTTGTCAATAAATAATTTGCTTCCATCGTTTTCAATATCTGTGAGGTCGCACATTCAAATTTTTTTCCCTTAGGCGAATTAGCATTTCGGCTAATATCAATATATTTCATGTCATGCAAGTACAGTACGTTTTGAGTTTGGGGATGTATATCTCATGTTATTCCATATGTTTACCTAGCGTTGATCGTGGTTGTAATTCATATTTATGTGTTTAGGATTGTGGAATGATGTTCTCTTCGGAATCGGATGGAAAAGGATGTTACCCTTTGGATGGTCACATCTTGTGCAAAAACTGCAATGCTAAGCGAATTCAAGCTCTCTCTTCTCCACATCAGTTCGTGTAAGGGGATTTTTTCCGACTGGGATTGAATCGAAAATCGCTGGTCAAGGTGAACGCATGTGAGCTAGTTGCCTTTGTGGTCTTAATCGTCCGCGTGTCTGTTATGCGAAGTGTACAGCACGCTGCGGAAATTAACGTTTCCTGAATAATATTTGGATTGTCATTCCGAACGAGCTTGATAGGAATTGATGTTGATGGAATTGATCGCGCAGTGATAAGCTTGAGCCATGTGTGTGAGGAACTTTTTGTATCTTTTTTTTCTCTGTCGGGAAGTATTTTAAGAAAAAGGAGCTCGTGTATTTATGACATTTGGAAGTGAATGTTGTGCCTTATTGTGAGCTGAATTACCCTGGGTTGTGCTAGAATGATGAGCTTCCATTCCTGTTTCTTCGAAAGCTGGGCAGTCTTAATAAATAAAGGTTATTTCAAGCATTTGATACTTTCCGCGTTTTTTTTTATTTTTATTGGAGTTTTCGAAGCTATCAAATTGTCGATGGATTTTGTCAGAATTTTGGATTTCTCCTCTTCGCACGATATTTTAATTCGAAGTTAATTTTAAAATCAATTCGCTGATTGTTCGGTTTTTTTGTTGATTGCGAGCGTCGAAGAAAGTTTTGTCGCGATGAACCCGATTTTTTCATCTGAATTTCTTTTAAATATTCACTTGAAAAGATTTGAAAATAATCATGAAGATCGGTCTATTTAAATTTTAAGGATTGATACAGTTGAAATGAACATCCCGAACTACAATGATTTGAAGGTTTCGCCGTGAGTATACGCGTAAAAAGTGGTCAGAAGAAAAATTCTTCCCGGAATATAGTCCGAAATTATTAAATATGATGATCCAGTCGTTTGGTGGCAAATCTCAGCTTAAGCAAGTTCCGTTTTTCGAATTAATGCCGAAAATGTGTGTTCATGAACCATTCCGTGGAAATGCCAAGACTTCTGCCGGGTTTAACTCCTGTAGCCGTGGGGCGAACGACTGCAGAAATTGCCGTTGAATTTTCGGATTGGACGCGTTGTCTGTCATGCTGGTTGAAGTGTGATCGGTCAGGAGCACGGCTGTGATGATCAGTGGAAGAAGATACTTTTTCAAAGCCACGTCTCGCGGATCTTGTTCAGAAAACAAAAACGATGAGATGCAGAGTGGGTATCACAAATTTGGCGTGCTGTTCAGCTCGAACCAGGGTAACGACTCAAGAGGGTGCGGAGAGTATTTCAAATTATGAGCCTTCCAGGGTCAATGAATGGTGAAATTCGAGAAAATCGCTCTCTTGAATTATTTTGCTTCATGCTCTTTGATTCCGCAGGTTTCTTGACTCATTCCAGGTAGAATTTGTGTACGCGACGTATCTCTAGTGTTGTTCAACGTATTCGTTGTACAGTTCATGCATTTCAGTAATTGCTGGCAGTTCTCTACACAACTCGCTGCTGCATGGGATCAAGGATGGGTTATCTCAATTTTCACCTCCAAGGATCATTTTTGCATCAGGCAAACAACTGCGAAGTGTTATTAAAATGGACGAGGGACGCACTTTCAAATCGCATTCTTCCATCAATACGCTTTTAAGTGAAGTAGGACAGTATTAATCCTTGAAAAATAAAATAAAAAAAACGAGCGGGAGGATTAGCAGATCGTGTTGCCAGTTTCTATTTTGAATGATAATGGGAATGCAGTGTGGTCATAAATGGACAGGAAAAAAGATTGAATGATTTAATATTGATTTTTTTTTTCTATGCGGTAACTCAACCCGTTTAGGACGTATCATTGTCCAAATATCGATCAGCCCTCTCTTGGTTCATACTGTTCGTATTACAATGCAGTTTCAGTTATCCAATATGCAAAATTCATCAGCGATTTTCTTTTTGAACAAACATTGAACATAGCAAGATCAAATTGCTCTGAAAATATACAAAAATGACACCTGGATGTGAATTTTTTAGGGTTCTTCGCTTATAAAATTTATAGCTACGAAGCTTGATGTTTCGTTTTGTTTCTTGTTCGCCGTTTGAAATACGGTACTTCATATGCATCCAACATTTCTAGAAGAACAGTAGTTCACTTTTCTTTTTCATACGCTGGGTCTTTAGCTTCAAGAACAAGTGCAAAAAATTAAGAGGGGCTGATAAATTCTGCTGGTTCTTGGTATTGCAAATTTGATTGAAGTTTATATATGAAGATGAGAAAAGAAAATTACTTGTGCTGATTTAAACTGGACGTCAGTATTATACTGGCGGAAGGAATGTAGTGCTAAATTTAAGAGGCCTGTAAATAAGTCGAGTCTCGTGTATTTTTCGTCGCCAATACTGAACTATCCGATGCTGTATGCCTGTATAAAGGGTTCTTCGATAATTATCTCCTAAGTACCCACCCATAAGAATTTTCTGATTTTTCGAGTCATACGTTATTCTCAAAAGCCCTAGTGAAAGCAGACATTTTTGACTGACAGGCTGGTGGAGAAAAGAAGCGCGTATTTCAATTAATTTAGGAATGTAATTTGTGATATGTTCTTCTGAAATGAACGATATTCTAGGCTAAAGTTGTTTTTCTCGACGAGTGACTCTTATTGCTAATTTCAGCTGGCAAATCCTACGTTTGTGCCTCTCAAAAAATTGCCCAATAAATACTTGTTCACACGAATTCGAAAAGTACTTACGAAGTACTTCTTGAAAAGGATGACAAGTGTGATGGGTACGTTCGGGAACTCGGCAGGAACCTGGTGCTGGTGGCAGCGAGGAAAGAAGCCGCACTTCTCTGTGTCTGAGGCTGTGACGATGTGTGACCTTGCGATTGACTCTCATTGATCAACAATTGCAACGTCGCGTTTTCCTCTTCGAGATTCTTATTTTGAAGTTCCAACATGCTTAATTTGGTACTGTATAGAGAGCGACAAAGGATTCATCTTTTCTGGATTTTTGAGTCACCCCGAATAAGGCGACATGGGATGATGGGAATAAGAGGAAATCTCACCGCAATAATCGTCCCTCCAAATTCTCGGCCGAATGCTCTTCATCACCGGTTCTACTTTCGGTGACGTCAGCGCAGTTGAAACTTCTTGACCTTCGGCTGCGTGGTTGTGGATTTTCTTGGATGTCTTCAGTTTGCATTTCTACAATGAGCCTTCGAATCGTTTCCGACGAAGCCCCACGAAGGCATATTGGGCATCTTCCTGGTACATGCCTATACAGTATATATATAGACGAAAATTATGCGGTTGGTTCAACTTTTCAGATTTTTAAAATTTCATCATCGCTTGTTGAATAATGGAGGTTGATGCGATGAATAAATGTTATTAAGGTGGTATTTTGGAATTCTTGTCGAATTGGTTCAGGAGGACAAATTGGACTTGTATTGGATGAAGTGCACTCCATCCAGCAAAGAAGGAATTTCAAGCTGTCTGAACTCTGAAGGGCAACAAATTCGAAACCACGGAAATTGTTCGGTAGATGATTGTTATGTGTTTACCCAAAAGAAAAATTAATATCGAGGCAATGTGGAAATTTTTTTAATGTTAATAATGAACGTGATGCTCGCACAACGTTTTTTTTTCTCCGAATTATGAATTTTGAAGTGTGTTTTGTTGCTTTTACATTACTTTTAGGCATGTATACTGTACTTATACATCTTTTTAATCAACATTTGTGCGTGTACATACTGTATATACCCTGTAAGAACTTATAATAACTCCACTCACTGCTTCAACCATGTTGTGATGCAGGATTGGTGAAAAACGTGTCCACAAGTGGTAAGACACACTGGACGTTGTTCTGTTTCACGCAGTCCCATATTCAATTCATCCAAACACACTGTACAAATTGGACGCTCCATTTCCGGATGGCAGTGATTATACTGATTGGAATATTTGTTTGTAATGTACAAAATCTTGACAAAAATATAAAACGGATACGACGTGACAACGAAAAACAAAAAAAAGTTTTGTCTACTACGGACGATACGCCGTTTATATACTCGCGTAATAGAGAGAAACGCGTATATATACACCAACAAATTGTGAAAATGTTCTTCAATAAGGCAAGAGATTTTAAAAATATCCTCCGCTCAATATATTTCGACTCATCCCTGAATCACCTGCGATGAGAACCATGAAGGCCTTGAAAACCATGACTGATAATCATTATGGAGCATATCGTTGAAGGGGTAAGGTACGTTCTGCTGTCAAAAATTTGAACACTTTTTCAAAAGAAATGCATAAATAGAATATCGCTCGGAAGCCACTCATGAATGCTCACAATAGGTATAATGTACTGCACCCAAACAATAATTATATGTATTTTAGCATTTATTTAGCATCACTGCGATCGATGGGACGGTCAGTTTGGTATATAGAAAATAATTTGAAAAATTATTATAGAGGACGAGGATCGATAATACGGATAAATCGCAACGCTCCTTCGGAATGAATTAATGTTCATTCACGCTTTGAGTCAGATTATTACTTTATTTCAGCTGCAAAATTCCGAGCCTGATTTCAGCTTCAAATCTTCTGCGTGAAACAAAAAATTGAGGCGTTTAAGATGGAGAAAGCACTCTTCTATTCTAGCAATAATATATACAGTATACAGTAATCCGCCGACACGACTAAATAACAGCGGAATCTTCCCCAAGCTTAAAATTCCGGAGAACTGATCATCATCTTCTCATCGACGAGTATTTCGTACATTCAAGATAGAAAAAAACTTCTAATAACCTGAAAATATGGTCAGGATTTACTCGTACTTCGCGATAAGAATATTATTATTTACCGGTTTATTCGCCCAGACAGTTCGATTGTTATCACTCAAGCTTACGCATGTACTCATTAGAATGAAATAAAATCAACGTAAAAAATTAAAGCGAAAACTTACTGATGGCGGCAATACAGTAAAATCTTGCTTACAAGAGTACGACGTACGAAGCTGTTGGGACCGGGAAAAGTGCTTCGGTATAAATAGATACCTTCGTTATAAAGTGATTTGAATAATATACTATTGCTATTAGGCAGGAACCTGAAGAATGATTTCGTAGTGAGCAATTATTCGTTACAGTGAGATTCGTTGCAACGAGATTCTACATTACATATGAGAATGCCACATGTATATCGCACTGACACATATTCGCGAAGGAAGCGCAGAAGTAATTTTGTCGTGAAAATTAAGAAGGAAATCCTAATTCTGGATTTTAACCAAATTTTGTTCACTAATATGAAGTTTCTCATCCCTTCAATTTCACGATTCGTCGTCTCAAAGAACCTTTGAGTCGAGACTGCATAGGAAAAACACATTCGGTTTTTCGCGGCCCACGTGGTTATTTGGCACAGCTTACAACGGTGTCACGGTCGGCGAAGTACAGAAACATGACTCGGAGAGTTATTTTTAAAGCACGTTTTTTTTAAATAGCAAAAAATCAATCCTCTATAGTTTTCGGCGACAGAGTCATCGCCGCTTTTTATTTATTATTGTTGAGATCGGATTGAAGATGGAAGTTTTCAAAAGATGTGCAATTTCCGAATTTTCAACATTTTATGAATATTTATAATTTCTCCTGAATATTACGGATCGTTAGCGTGAGGCATGGAATTGTTGGCGAAATGTACCGTAGTATAAAATGCTGTACGAAGTTGAGAACCTATTCATATTTTAAAATTCGCCAACCTTTCGAAAATAAATTTCAATCAACTTTGGCAAGAAAAATAAATAAAATAAATCCCCATGATTTGTTCAACACGCTAAATTCATGAGACTATGTTTTTCTGGTCGGTGAAAAAGAGTGCTGGATGTCATCTGTACAAGTAAATTTTAAAAATTCATTTGTGCAGATGTTTATTCTGGAATCCCCGAGAAAAAAGGTGATTGCCAAGATGCTAACACAAATGAGCACCAGCGAAAGCATTCACCCGTGTAAATAAAGCAAATCAGCATTTGAGTTTGCAATCGTAATCCATAAAAAAAAATGTTGACAAAACAACAAAGTAAGTGTGCCTTATTGGAGCCAGAAGGTGAGATTTTCCTATGTATGCCTTCAGAATCTGATTTTATTATACATTTTCGTCGAAACATGCAAACATTAATCGTAGAAATTTTGAATTTTCGTGAGATTCAGCTTGTTCAATTTTATCCCGATTTCCCAAACACAATCTTATGAAAAATGAACAATCGAATCGATTCAGCATATTTAAAGACGCCAAAATCAAGCTTCTTTGATAATCGAGGACGCGAAGACATTTTTGTTGCGGAGATTTTAACAGTATACTGTACATCTAAAAGAGTTTGCTTTATTATGCTATAAAATCCTTCCCGAAAAATACTAAACAAAAAAGCTGTTTCAACTGGAATACGACAACATATGAGCATTAAATAAAAAAATTGTAGTGCGGCAATTTTTGAGCACATACTGTATTACCATCAGAAATTAGTACTTTATCAACCTATCTCAATAAACTTCAATTTAAAGTTCATCTTTTCTCGGTTTTCATGGACTTTCAAGGGTGTATCCTGTTTTAATATTATCGGGACCTATTCGATCTTCAACAGGAAGTCCTAATTAATTTCGGAGTTCATTTAGATTATTATTTTTTAATTATGTTGCGAGTCGCGCGAATCTTGCTTCGACCTATTCTGGACGTTAGAAAAGATGCAGAATTTGAAGTCAGCGGTTGAGCATGAAATTTTAAACTATTGTACGAGTATATATGTACAGTATCTGTAACTGATGACCTTATAGTTCTCACCATCAATTTCACAAACCTGGGCAACTATAGATTGTAATTTCATAATGAACCGCGGTATCTCGGCATGCGTCAATTTGAAACCTGCTCACTAGCATCGCTGTGCGAAGATTTAAATTGTCTTTCTGGAAAGCGTGCGAACTGTTGACGATTTATGCTGTGTCCAGCAGTTGAACACCAACATTCTAAGACCCGTAACAAGGAAGGATTACGAAAACGTGAGTCACTTGTTGTGGAGCGGTACGAATTTCCTCAACCAACCCCACCAGCACTACTCACACGTGTGACCCATTGTTATCAAAATGTCAGAGAATAAGCTTCTGATCATCTTTTCCTCGTCGTATAGTCTGTGTCCAAGTTCTCCATTTCATTGTTGTGACTCGAAGTTTCAGCATGATGGAACACGGATCATCAGGAAACCTACTCACCCAGTGCCTTTTATATATCGATACTTTTTTTGTTGTTGCACCAACATTATTTTTGGGTCAATTCGCAGTTTTTGTGTGTGTGTGTGGTATACTACTGTATATCGTGGAAATTTCGAAAGTGAGGCCTTCTGTGATGATTTCCGCGTCATTACATTTTCTTTTCTGATTCAACTTACTGCAAGGATTAATTTAGATGGAATAATGTGGACTCACAACAATGACATGCACTTTAGAAGATCTGATGTATACCATATTTACTTGAGTACCACGTGGCCTTCAGTAAGTCCCACACAGGGGTTTTCCAGTTGGAAATTTTGCTAAAATCTTATCCCAAGTAAGACGCGCACCCCAAATTTTAGTGAATCTGAAACAGCAAAATTTCAAAAATAAAAACAAAAAATTGACTTTAGACATGAATTGAACAAAAATCTGATCAATTTTAAACTGTTTCAGTACAAACAAGTTTTCTTGTTTCATTTTTTCCAAATTTCTCCATCATGATTAAGTATAATGCACGCATAACTTCCTAAAACTTCTTGGAAAATTTGTACCCACTTATGACGCACACCCCTTTTTTTCTTCTGAGATTTGAGAAAAAAAATGCGTGTGGTACTCAAGTAAATACGGTACCTTCATTTTGAACATGCATTTTCCTCATAAGCATAAGTGAATTTTGCTTTTGGATTTCCATTATATTCACGCCTATCACGAGACAATACAGTGTGTACAGAATTTGTTTGGATTGCCGGGACAAAAGTATGAACATCAAAAGAGATGATCTGCTGGATTGGGCTTTTCAATTTCCGCAAATTAATTGGGCCGTTTCCTGCTTATCATAATTGAGATTTTCCTGCTCTTGCAGGGGACTTGAAATTTCGTAAACAAATTGCGGCAAATTAAAAGCTGTCGGATTTATGATATAGCGCACTATCTTTTAAGCGTCAGCGAAGGATAATCAGTCGAATAAGGGCGTTTCTAAATTTTCATGATCATGTCTCGTTTTGCTTTGATGAAACAGTTCAACACATTGTGATTGAAACGTATGGATAATAATTTTCGTATGAATTCATTGATACAAAGTCGAACGATATTTTTCCTTCTAACTTAAAATGCTTTTATAGCCACTCAAAGTTGAATATTTTCTTTAAATTAAAGTTATGTCAAGAAGAGATTATTTTCGAGTAATTAAACCATGAAGGTTGTATTTTCCCTAAATGTTCCCTCTCTAAAACGATCTTGTCTACAACGATTTTCTCTGTATAAGGAATTGTCCTTTCCTGGTCCCAAAGGATTCTCTCTCCATGTTATAGGGTTTCTCTGCAATGATAATGTCTCTGCCACAATTTTTTATTGGACCTGGAATTTCGGTATAAAGAGAGTCCATCTGGTAGCTGAATATGAAGAAATTTGAATGCAAGCAACAATTTCAGAGAACGAACTTGAATGTGCCCATGAACTTTGGTTCACTCCAATTATATGCCACAAAAACACACTGGTTTACAATTAAAATTTCATTTTTTTTCTGAGATTCCATCATTGAAATCATATTCCGCAGGTATATAAAGGGTTGGATGATGGGCCAGTCACCCGTTAAAAATAAATGAAATATCAGCGATAATGAATCAGGCCATGATGGGTATAAATGACCAAGTGAAAGCCATGGCTGTGGAGAGTTGAAAACAGGAAGTACGAACAAAGTGAAGTTCGACGTGAAACTTTTTTTTCGGGACCCTGCGTGATGTTCCCATTTAATTATCTGCGATAGCGATGATGAAATTACGCGTGCTTATATAGTTGTGATTAGAGTTCTTGAAACGAGCAAGGGAATTTCTAAATCCCCGAATACTTGGTTACGGGTATGAAGATTGTAAGGTCGTTCTCACACAAGGTCATTTAATGAGTGACTCAACTAGTTTGTCTGAGTTCTATATGGAGTAGCAAGGGGTGCCTCATTATTGGACGGGCAATTTTTGATGAATTAAGATGCAGTTAAAAAGTTTCCACGTAGTCAAGGCAACTTTAGTGAACGGCAGGGTCCCACTTCCTTCGGTCTTACATTCACTTGCGTTTGAGCTGATGAAATGCTCTAAAAAAATGTCTTTGTCAAAATATCTGAACTGATTATGGAAAGCGTCGATGTTGTTTTTCTAAAAAAAAAAATGCGGAATCTAATCGACAAAATTCGCCTCGGTTTCCTTGATACAAATTTCAGTTTGAACGCTCATATTCGTGTACCGCCACATGGTTCAGTGCTATTACGCAGGATTTTGGAGTTTTTATGATTTTCCGGAATTTTTTTTGGCGAACTTTGAATACAGAAGATGAGGAATGTGTTTTCGGCTTCGAGCTACAGTGTGTTTTAATCCATATGAATGTAGAAAATTACACGAATTTACCGCGTTTGTGCTGTGAAAATTATGCAAATTTTTTCCCAGCGATGTCGTTGACGTTTTCCACCGTTGAATCGCTTAATAAAATCGCGTGATTGCTCGCCAGCAGCTAAAAATTTGAAAAGAGTCTAAAATCTGCTGTTTTTCATTTTTCATCAGATTTTTTTTTGCCAAAAGATGGCCCATTTACGGAGAGGCGCGAGGTCGGCCAAAAGAAGTACTTTCCTAGTTTTGGCGCCGCTGTTATTGTCGGTTTTGATTGATTTGCCAAAAACAGCAGCTCAGTCGATAAACGGCTTACCAGGGGATCCCCAAAAGCGCTTCCCTTTCTATGACCAGTTGAAGGATCCTCTCTTGTTGACGCCTTTTATTATGACGGGTGATCTGGAGTATGGTCGAAATTTGAGCCGTGTCAACGGATTCAAACAGATTGCCGGTGACTTGGAAAGCTACTCTGGATTCCTCACTGTCAACGAAACACATTTTTCGAACATTTTCTTCTGGTACTTTCCGGCTGAGGTGAGTTTTTTCCTTACCTAAAAATATAAAAATCCACGCCTAAAAAATACCGTATTCACTCGAGTATGAGATGCCGTCAATTATGAGACGCATCTGAATTTTTTTGGGTCTTGTAGATGAACCTGCTTTTACATGTAAAGATGAGACTCTATTCCATTACATTACCGTGAACCACGTTTACTCAGTACCTGTGAGTACTTGTTCGACTTCACGAAGTTTTGCTAATAGAATACCTTCCTATACTCCCCATACATAATTTCAATGAGAAGTACGAATCGAACTCTACTGAAATACCGTATATGGCAAGGATTTTTAAAAAGAATTTCGCCCTTGATTACTAGAAAAAGTATGCTGTAAATATATGAAGCATCTAAAGCAAATCGTGGCCAAAAAGTAATAACGACGTCGATGCAGAAAGCAGTTTGGTTTAAAAGGAAATTAAAAAACCAAATAACATCTTATTTCTGAATATTTACGTCACCATTGTAATTGAAACGAAGTCTGAGGACAATGAGACATTATTGAACGTACCGTTTTTGAAACATTTTGCTCATGTGTGATTGTGTGACAGAAGTAAATTAATTTATTTTCTCAGAAGAATTAATGGCTTGCGTCTGTTGAATCTTCTGGATTAATCTTGCTTCAAATACCGTCAAATTTTGATAATTGATGACAATTGCTCCAAATTGATAGCCAGAATTGTTTCATTCAACATTAACTACAAGAAACCTCAGTTTTTTAGCTCTTCAAAAAATTATTGATAAAAGTTCAAATAGCTTTTTTTTTAAGGGGGAAACCACATTTGAGTACATTCAAAAGTAACTAAAAGCAATAAAAAATAACGAATTTTTGTAATTACAACCGGATTAAAGGAGGGAATTTTTATCTTAGCCATGACTGAACAATATTCATTCTTGTCGAATTTTTAAAATTACATTTTAATTTTTAAAATAAAAATTTATAAATTAACCAGACCCTGGTTTCTCTTGGTAATATTCTTCTTGAGCGGGGTTTTCTTCTCTGCTGGAGAAAATGAATTGGAAACGGCGTGTGAATAAAGGGTAAAACTCAATGCTAATTAAGGCAGTTTGAAAACAGGAGTATACCTGTATACTTCCTTTTCGAATAAACCTGCATTAAGGAAAAACTTCATTGTTCTTCAACACGATGCGATCGTTTCCATTTTTGAAGTGCGGAGAAACGAACGCTGATTCTAAATTCATGAATAAAAATGATCGCTTTTTTTCTCAGAAATTTGAGCTTAATAATTTTATGCCGAAAAACTGAGAAATCCGTCCCTTCAAATTAATATTTCAAAACGATAAAACTTGAAAAAGGCAAATTTTTTAATTTGCATGGAGTGACCTCTAGAGTACAACTTTTGAACTTGATGATCTATCAATAAAATGCTGAATACACGCGTTGTGCAGCTCTCCTGAATACAATACTTGATTCAATGAATTCTACGTCACACGTGTTTCAAGATCATCTGCTTCCGGGAATAAAATAATGTTTCAGTTTCGAGGAGTCGTGAATTTGTTGAAGTCGGGAGAGCTCTCAAAATAATTCAGACATTGTTCGAAGGAAAATATTGGGGCTAAATATGTTCGAATGGAATGCTGCCTATACTCATCATATCCAGCGACATTATGGATGCAATCTATCATTTCATGACTCGGGATTGCAAATACGAGATCATAACCTAAACGAATTTTTAAAAATCCACAGAAAACTGTCAGGAGCACATCTGTTATGCTTTGGCTCGAAGGAGGACCTGGAGCAGCATCCAGTTTGAATGTCCTCCTGGACAACGGACCTCTCGCAGTTGACGAAGAGACTCAGAAAATTTTCCGCCGGAAAAATCATTGGAGCAAAGAGCACCACGTGATTTACATGGACCAGCCCTTAGGAGTCGGTGAGTTGAACCACAGTAAAGGAGCGTCGGTCCACAGACGTTTTTTGCTAGTCCCCATAGGAAATTTTCTTCCGCATAACAAATTTATCCAAAGTAGCAATGAAGTCTGTTATCTTCATCTGACATTTTGGAAAGATTGTGGTAGATGAAATTATTTGATGGGAAATAGTAGTTGGCTTTTCTCCCAATAACACCTTCACCTGCTGACATAAATACGTTTAGTTTTTCCTTATGAGAAACCGTTCTTCGAGCCCACCTGCCTATACGTTTTTGAAGACATCCCAAAATAGCTGCTTCATTGGTTCTTGACTCAATTTTTGCAAAAAGCAAAAAATTTTCAAATATGTGCCACAAATAAGTCTTTCAAACAATGCTTTTTTGAATCTGCACAAATCTTCTGAAACTTTGCTGGTTCACAAAACTTGTAATTGGCTGTAGTCTGTGAAAATTTTCATGGAAATTCGCTGGCCCAAAAAGGTCAGGGAACACTGGATTATAGTACAGCAGTTTTCGAAACTTCAATGCAGTATAATTAAATTGTCTTAGAAGAATGAATTCATTACACATTTGGTTTTCAGGATACAGTTTTACTGCACCTGCTGGTCGACCGAAGTCATTGGCAGAGTCCACCGAAGACTTGTACGCCGCTTTGGTTCAATTCTACGCTTTGTTCCCGGTCGTCAGTGTTTTCCCGTTGTATCTCACGGGCCAGTCCTACTCAGGTTCAGTCGACATTATATCTGCAGTCAATTCGAAAAACGAAAGAATTGAAACAAAATGTGCGGATGATACCATTTTTTTAAATGTTTTTTCGGCTCAGGGAAATTTGTGCCATCTCTGGCGCGGAAAATCGGAACTCGAAATAAAGCCTTGCGGGCAAATCAACGACAGTCGTCAACAGTCACGTCGGCCTTGCGATTGCAGATGCTGCTTCCGCTCGAGGGAATAATTATTGGCAACCCGATGATTCATCCGAAACAGAATTTCCACTACGGAGATTTCCTTTTTGGCCATGGGTTGATCGACGAAGTTCAAAGAAACCATTTCGAATTGCGAGCCAACGAGTCTGTCCAGCTGGCTGACGAGGGAAAATGGGAGGAATCCGTTGACGTAAGTATGATATTCGTTAAAAAAAAAATCACATATAACGACAAACGAATACATGTTTTTGCATGAAAATCCCCGAAAATGTTTCACGAAGCGATTCACTTGAATGTAATGGACGCTGAAACTTGAACAAGCAATTCGTGAATCCATCTGCTTCTTTGAATCACGTTTTTTTTTCTATCGGCGAACGCAAATTTCATTCACGGGTAATTCAAATAAAGATTAAACTTTATCTGCATTTAAAGAAAATATTTTGTTCAGATTGCAGGTGAATCTTCCAGAAAAAATTCCGATTTAGACTACTGACACTCCAGTTCTACGAAAACTTTAAAAGTAACGATCACAAACACATATTGGAACCCTGAATCGCTTTTAAATGTATTCTTCCTAGATCCGATTCATCGTCGGTTTTATAAATTTTAAAATACAGTGACCCCCGCTCAAGAAGAATATTACCAAGAGAAACCAGGGTCTGGTTAATTTATAAATTTTTATTTTAAAAATTAAAATGTAATTTTAAAAATTCGACAAGAATGAATATTGTTCAGTCATGGCTAAGNGTTTTTCCTCCCGCCCAACAGACAAAATCCACCCAACAGACTTCTTTTGGTTTAAAATTAGTGTTGAAAATTGAAATTTTAAATTTTTACGTAATTGAATTCCTGTAAAGGACTGTTCGTCTAACAGACTCGTCCCTTGCACGAATCAAGTCCGTTAGACAGGGGTTGACTGTATCTATAAAACATGATCCTGCGTTTGAAGGAACATGAACGCGCACTACATGTGCAAATAAAATCGTTCAATAACCTGCATTTCGGACGCCGCATTCAACCAAAGAATGAAAAAATTTTGTCAATCAGATCTTCAATGTTCAAGGACTGCTGATTTCTGCACATTATACAGCTGAAAATGATGAAAAAATGTTTTACTTGATTTCTGCGGACGAGAAATTATGAGCTTGTATATACCGCGTATACGAGTATGTAGCAAGGTTTTGGCGCTTTGCCCACTACTACATGATTTATGGAAATGGCAGTCCCTATACAGTACTTCGATGACCAAATAATTACCAAGGTTTTGTCGAAAATGTTTAGAGTAACATCCTATATAGCAGCGAGTGCCACGAAGTACCGTATTTTTAAGAAAATGCAATATTCCATCAATCACAGTATAAAAAAGCAGCCATAATTGTTGCGTCTCAAAAAGGACATTAATCTTGCCTGCGAATATCCGTCACTTTTTCATTGTACAATACAATGAAATCTTCTGGATCAGAAAAGTATCTTTCTTGATAACTGAAAATTTCAAGCTGTATTTCCAAAAAACTTTCCCAATCGAAATCAGGAATTCTCGCGTCATTTACTGGATAAAAATGAAGTCAAGGATTTGTCCAAGTAAATTACGGACGATTCATATTCAAAAGATTGCGTTGATTTTAAGCAATCGTGGCCTTCATACGCAAATCGTAGAGATCGTACAGAAAAATACAATACGCAATCAAATCGGAAATGACATGTTTTTGAAGCCAAATTTTGCGAAACAAGTTCGAGCTTCTTATCCTCGAGTAAATGCAGCGCAATAAAACTTCGTGGGGAGATTTGATCGGAGAACTAAATCAGTACTGTAATCATTTTGCACTTATTTTGAGTTGAACCGAAAATTGCAGCATACGGGTATGATATCAGATGTAACCACTAGTTTCAACAGCGTTTTCCAGAAACTTTCCCGTGAAAGACGACGTAATCAAATCTGAGACTCCACTGCGTATAAAAAGCATACTGATGATCGAAAACAAAATGATTCGTAAAAAGCGAAGTACAGTTTTATTCTCGAGTAAACATATGGTAATCAAACTTCGTGATGTGATTTTCTCGGGATGCAAATTTAAGGTGAAAAAGAGTGTAAATATTCATCAAAGTCAGTTTGAGAAACGTTTTTATTTTAGAAATCGAGTTGATCAAATGAGATCACGCATTTCATCTCTGATGACGTAAAAGTCCGTTGGGCCAATTTTCCCCTTTAAAAAACGTGCTTTTCATTGATATATATGTATTGTACCTTGTAATTCAAATAAATCAAATTCAGTTTTAAAAACGTTTTCATTTGAGGAATCGAAGTGGTTAAATGGAATCATCAACATAATTTATCTCTGACGAAATCGAAGTCCGTTGGGCCAATTTTCACACAAAAAGATGTGCTTTTCATATATATATATATATATATATATATAATATATATAGTTCCTTTTAATAAAAAAAAACAAATTCAGTTATAAAAACGTTTTCTTTTGAGGCATAAAATTGATTGAATGCAATCATGCACTTCATTTATCTCTGACGACATCGAAGTACATTGGGCCAATTTTCCCCTAAAAAAACGTGCTTTTCATATATAAAATACATTGTAATTCAAATATATAAAATTCAGTTTTAAAAACGTTTTCATTTGAGGCATCGCATAGGTTAAATGCAATCAGGCACTTCAATTGTCGCTGACGACATCGAAGTCCGTTGGGCCAATTTCCCGCCAAAATAGTGCTATATACAGTACTTTTAAATGCGGTGATCGAACTTCGCGTGTCCTTTGCGGCGTGATTTAATTGCTGGCGATGACAGCCCCGTTATTTTCGGTTTCGGTCAGTTTAAAAAATTAATAAATGTACTCGATTTTAAATTTTCACTCGTTTTTTTTTATCCCAACCCACAAAAAAAAGGTAATGGACCAGCTAATATTCGGGGCGTTCCGCAACGACACGTACTTCAAGCGCGTCACGGGTTTCGACCAGTACCACAGCGTTCGCGGTCCTCGGGACACGTACTTGTTCACTCCGAGTTACGCCGCAGCCGACGCGTTTCTCTCGTCGGTCACAACCCGAAGGAACCTGCACGTGGGCGAAATGCCGTTTTTCTCATTCAGCGAAGAGACCCTGAGGAACTTCAAGGGCGACATGGCCCAGTCCCAGCTGGAGAATTTGGAGTTCGCCTTGGATAATTACCGAGTGATGTTGTACTATGGCAGCCTGGACATCATTTGCAACTTCGAGGCCGGCCGGCGAATCATCAACGATGCTAGGCGATGGAACAGGTGACTTCTGGAATATTTGATGGAAATATTTCTTGCTTGTTGGGCGGAAAATAATTACATGGTTAACATTGAGGGCATAATACTGAACGATCTACTAAGTAAAATCTTGTTACAAAAAATACCCTTACAACACATTTTTTGGTATAACAAACTTTTTTGGAGTCCTGGCAGAAATCCTAAATAGAGGGTACATGCTATAAAAATCTTGTCATAATAAACTCACCAATTCTAGTACAGTATAACAAACTTTTTTTGGGAACATGTTGTGATTTCTTAATGAAAAATCCCCAATAAAGGCAGGCACAGTCTCAAATTTTCCATTCAAAATGTGACTGTGACTGGTTGTATGCTTGAGGAACAATACTGATGCTTGAAAATTAAAAGCTTTTTTTTAGAACATCCACCCTTACAAATCTGTTCAGGAATTGCTTAGAAAGCCTTACTCATCAAAAAGTACTAGCGTACACCTGTTATTCAGATTATCTGCTTGTTATTAAACATATACATTTATTTTTAAAAATATCAGTTTTTTTTAGATGCTGAGAAATATCTGAAAAAGCCACAATAAAAGAAATATGTTGAAAGTATGCAGGTTTAATTTTCAGAAAATCTTCCCATTGGCCAACATTTTTGAAAATCTTGATATATATCAAATAATCCATTATAACAAACTTTTTCTGGAGTCTCCGCAAGTTTTTTGTAACAAGATTTTACTGTACAGAGTTATACTCATATTCAATAAAGGCACTGTATGGACACTTCCATTTCAAAGCATCTGCCCCGGAATGCTGGAAAAATATGTGTGGAAAAAGATATGCACACTTCTACAACTTTTACTCAAATTTTTCAAAATCTTGAAATCTCTGAAAAAAAAACTGAGATGCTCTCATGGACTAATGTGGAAGACGAATGAGTCATAATAAAAAATAAATAAAATTCTAAAACAGTTTAATTGTGTACTTCCTTATCGAGATTTTTCCATCAGCTGCGAACAGTACAGGAAAACAAGTATTTGAAGGAAAATCAAATGACATACTTCGCCACGTCACTAAGGAACAGAATCGATTCTCTTTTTTTATTCAACCAATACGACAATATTTTGAGGATGGAGACGAACAGCTACTCAAGACTTAGAACTTTCAAAAAAGATTCGTTTTTAGAATAAATATGGTTATCATTTTAAAAACTTGTATGCATCTTATTGGAAGCAGTAAATTTGTATCAGACCTTATCCTATATGGAGAAACATTTTCAGGATTCGTCAGTGATGGATAGTTTCACGTTCAAACAAAGTTGAACTCTTAATCAACTGGGTTTCACTGAAAAAAAAAGAATTTTCAATTTATCGCTCTGGAAACTGTCGCAGAAAATAAAATGACGAGCAAGGCTCTAATTTTCGATCAGCTTCTTCCCCTCTGATAACCGTGATTACATGTAACGCTATGTTTTATATAGTGAAGATCAACACGATGAGCATTGGATTGCTATTCAAATAGAAGAAAATAATTTCAGAAGAAACTTTGAACCAATCAACAAGATGAAATCTAAAGACAATTTTGCGTTAAAATCCTGAGAACTGCGTAGTTAATCATCATCCAAGATAATGTCGGTAATTAATTCTTCAGGTAATCTCAGAGTCTGTTCTAATTCCTAATCGAGTACAATAAAATTATTCTCGAATCATTCGATCAAAAAAGAAAAAAAAAACATTGGACCTTTGAAGCACCGCATTGTCTTCCTTTAGTTAAGACTAAACTCATTTCTAAGGTTCAGTCAATACAAAGATCCTTCTTTCGAAGAAATCAATCAATTCATAATAAATGGTACCTCTTGTAGCATGCTTTTTTCATCGTACAGGTCATCAATCGTTTGTCAGTTATTTTAGGGAAAAGTTCGGAAACATCAGTTACTTTCAAAATGTGACTCTCCCCCCCCCCCCAAAATACCACCAGCAAACATTAATGACTGACCTTTTCTCCTCTATCGCAAAAAAAAGGTACGAGGAATGGCTGCGTACAAATCAAAAGCCCTGGAAAGCGAAGTTTGCTGACTTGGTGCGATATGGCTTCGGTTCGGGTCATGGTGACACCATGCCACCGTCACCAGCAAACGTCAACGACGAGGTTACTTTCGGTTACGTCACTCAATTGCCGAAAATAAACAAGAGCCGCAACGATTTCGTGTTTCTCGTCGTACTTGGTGCTGCGCACAGTGCCTTGCAAGACCGCCCAGAAATCATGCAACACGCAGTCGACACTTTCCTCCGACACGGAAAATTCTGAGCATCTGCAACAACAATAAAATTTCAAATGACTCATGACGCTTAAGGATTCGGATTGAGCGTAATAATTCAAGAATGGCACGACAAAGAAATGCAGAACATTGTTTTCCCGCAAGAGGAGTACATGTGAGACCGAGGGCAAGAAACATGAGATTGAATAAGTTTGAGAAATTTTTACAAAAGGACTCACCACTGAATTATACAAAATTTTCTCCATGGGTTTCAAGTGATCCTGTCAAATTTCAAATTACTGAAGCCATTATACAGTATATGAGTTAGTTTCGACAAGTTTTTTGGACTTCAAAGAAAATCAACGACATTGAAGTACTGTACTTCGTTCTTATAAAACTTTCCGAAGGATTACAACAGAAATAACCTTTTAAATCGCCCCGAGAAGAATTTCATTCAGGAATCCAAATGCAGGGCTATGCGTCAGTTTTTCGAAGATGATCTTCAGTGAAAGACTCGTCCAAAATTCCGGTGGTTGTACAAACTCTTGTCAACTTTGTGGCTTGAATAAAGGACGAACTCCTTGCGAGGCATTTGCACACGTACGTGGCAGATACAAGAGTTATCAGTTACTTTTTGTACAAGATTTCAAAGCATTAAATATATGATTTAATATTTTTTAAATTTGTAAAATTTCGTTTGAGGTCAAGTTTGGAACAAGAAACGGTCCATTATTTTTTTCTTCTTTTTGAGCCATTTTTAAAAATAGAATACTTTGCCAGAGTCGATCTTGAATGCGTTGGAAATATACAGTGTTGAGGCTGCAAAGAAATGATAAAAGTCACTATAACGCAATTCTACCTTCAATATTAATATCACGAGCGTTCATTCCGATTTTTTTTATGGAATGAAAATTCTGTTTAATTTTACTGAAACCAAAATAACTCCTTCGGTTTATTTTTCGTGAGCATCCGCGGAGCCCCCGTGGAGCTCACGAGGAGCCCCTTTGAGTTCCACGGAGCACAGATTGATAAGCTCTGCATTACAGCATACGATGAATCAAGGCATCATGTTCTTGGTATCTCAGATACAGTGAATTTACTTTTTTCAATGCTGCAATTATGGAACGGAAGTGGGGCAAACGGCGTCCTTGTAAAGCGGTCAGCACCAAGGGACTGCTGAATGCTGATGATGACTTCGGGAAAATTTCCGCAACGGGGGGCGACCTATCTTGCGATACACATTCTAGATAGTGATCGTTGATGAACTGGGCTGGAAACACAGCAGTTTCAGAATTTATGACGCCGAGAAAGTTTCCTTTCCACTTGGAATGAATGTTTTTCTTTTTCGAAAAAAAAAAAACAAAACACGTAGACTCTCTATAATGATCTTGTCTACAACGATTTTCACTGTACACAACGAATTTTTCTTGGGTCCCATGGGGTTCTCTCTCCCTATGTTTCAGGGTTCTCTACAAGGAGCTTTTTCTGGTTCTGTGGATTTTGTTCTAGAGTGAGTTCACCTGTATAATTGAAACGGCACATTGTTTATTTTCTTCGTAAAAGCACGCGCATCGAAATCCCGATCCCGAGTATGAAAGAAATGCATATTCTCAGCTTAGGACAAGTACATAAAACAGAGATGCATTAAAATATTCACAGTTGTCAAATGGACACAATTTGACTATAGATTTTCGAATGAGAAATAATGCAGCCTTTAGTATCCAGGTAATACTCAAACGCCTTTTACGAGACAATCAAAAATCTGGAACGATGACACGTTCGAAAATATTGCGCAAAAAGCCCAACATAGCTTTAGCTATGAATTTTTCTTCGAATCGTGACAATTGATACATTTTACAGATACTCTTTTGTGTAGGAAGAAGATATTCGGGTATACCAGTGACTCAAATTCTAAAGGTGCATCGTGTCCTGAATATTTTACTGCATTCAAAGATTATCAACGTTAAAAGATATAAACAATTTTTAGATTATTATTCTACACTCACCAGTTAACAAAATTTTCCAAAAAAGTTTAAATTAATGTAGTTATCGTAATAATATGCTGATTATAGATTTTATAATGCTGTACGCAGCGACTCTCTCCTTTATTGAATATGCTTTTCATCGCATGAAAAACAAATGTAATCGCTTTTTATTTTCTTTCACTTCTTGTAAATCAAGTATCAGTGGCGTGTATCCCAAGAAAAATAAAGAAATTATGTTACATTAGCTAATTTTTAAATAGTCCGCACTTATGTGTTTTCTTCGAATTTAAGCAACGGCTATAGTTTGAAATAAGTCCCCTTCGTGATTGCATAGCTCATCAATCACGTTTTAGTTGCTAGAAGTGCACCACAACCAAAAATTGAATCGATCAACAGCATACACATAAGCAGTTTTTTTCAGTTCCACCCTCACAATTAAAATTTCCCGAATGGATATACTGTACACTATTCTGCAGAAAAATATATTGTACTGTATCACCAATGAACCCAGGCTTAATTTAAGGCCTCAATAAAGGGCATCTGTTTTTATCTTGAATTCCCTCTGCAACTGCGAAGTATAGTCCCTGAAAACATTTTTAATAAATGTCGATATTTCCTTCGAAATAAAGCTTTACTATATCGTACTCAAAAATAAAGAGGAACATAAAAAACAAATGCATCGTTCTTTCTGCAAAATGTAACACTTTTTCATTTAAACATTTCCGAACCTATGCAATTTGGTTGCACTATGAGCATTCGATTATTTGTGAAAAATTTTCTAGTCGATGAGGGGAATAATACCATTTCATAAATTAATTTTGTTTGATTCGTCAATTTGTGGAAGGTCAGTATAGCATCAGCATAATATGCTCCAGAAAACCAAAAATTGTAAAAAGGAAGCTACATAGTTTCGAAAGAAAGAATAAAATAATACGATTAACCGATTTTTCCCACAAAAAAAACAATGATTAGTCATCTAGATTTCTAGAAAATGCGTCACGTTTTGAAATTTTCCAAAATCATGGTGATATCGGCATACAGTAAATCCAGGTCCTTATCGTTGAAATTTATTTTTTTCTTTTGTATTCTCAAGTCAATTTCCATCTATTCTCAGGTAATCCCGATGAGATATTCCATTATACAGACGCAGGCACCCGGTCATTTCCCAGGTTATTCGATATTACGCTGTGCTCAAAATTCCTTCACGAGTAGTATCATCAGATGAAATAGAAACATTGCGTTATATAACAGTAAGATTAACATATAATGAGCTTCACGAAGCGACTGAATAGAATAGAGTGATCCATATCCGAGACCCCCTCCGAGGATTGCGACGCCAAAATTCAAACCCAGATGATGAGCTGGTCCGGAGATCGAAGTGGAATCACGCGATCCGCGGATTCCGACCCATCATAGTCACATAAATAGAAAACGAAAAAAAAGAGAAAACTAAATAAACCTTGAACATTGATCTTCGACTGTCATCAAAGTCAGCTTCCGCACCGGAAGCATGTGTCATCTCACTCCCCGAAGCCCAGCTTTTCCTGCCTGCGGGTCCCAGCAATCCGCCTCAATTACCCGCGATGTCAATCCTGTCGTTCCTTGCGCAACATCCTGAATAATCAAAATATTCCCCGTTATACTTCTTCAACTGAATCCAGATGTTTCATTTTATTCTATTTGATTTATTATCACAATCGTGCGTCATGTGCTTATACTTACAGAAAAAATGCGCACTGTACTTCATTTTTGAGCACGTTGAAGCTCGAATTTCCAGGAACGCTGCGAGCAGCAATTTGTTTTCCAGTTCAGTACCAGTTTTCGAGACGGACGGATTTCACGCAATTTACGTGGAATAGAAGCCGGAAGCTTCTGTAATGTTACCCAGACAGAGATCGGGAGAAAAGCTTTAGGTTCCGGCTACAGGATATAGAACAGGTGTTCAGATTGTTTTTCGTAGAAATCGTTACGAGAATTGCTCATCCGTTATATAATAATATTTCTCGAAACTTCGTACGGCATTTCATCGAAAGGGTTTTTTGTTTTACTTGACGGATGTGCGCCTGATATGATGAAATCTCGCCGCGGTGTCTGTCTGGAAGTCTAGTCGTCCAGGAAAAGTTAAAAAAAAACTTCACACATTTGTTCGAGGTTTATGGGACAAGTTACCAAACATCAACAGCTGACGAAGATAGTCCTGAATTTCATAAAATACTGCTTCCATTTCTTGAGGCTTAAACGACAACTGAGTACATTGATCCGTGTCAAAATATAAAAAAAAAGGCAAGGAAGAGTGACCCGAAGTAAGAATCAAGTGATGATTTAAAATATACTGTGCATCTGTTTTTTGGCAATCATAATTCAGGCGTATCAAGAGCAGTGTCTATAAATAGTCCCGAACACGGCTTATTCAATCACTCATTTAATCTTTTTTCCCGCAAAATTTGTGAGACAAGGAGTCCTTAATTTACTTTTTTAAATGCTCATCTGTCATATATTTTCAGCTTGAAATACATGTCAATGCCAACACAAGTCAACGTTTACAAATTAGCAATTTTTGGTCTGCCATGAATTCAAATTACGTAGTTCGGATAATTAAAGCGAGGGTTGTTTGAAAAAAATACATGTATGTCGATGGCTACTCTATCATACACACATCAAGTTATGATAAATAATTTATAAAAACGGATTACTGCAAAGCCAGGACACTTCTGAATTTTTTTTGCGGAAAGAAGTTCAAATCATTGTCAGTTTTACACAAAAGTGAACAATGAGCATTACATCTCGTCGTATCCCACATGCTATTACAGTACTAATTTCTTCTCCTGCTGGGAATCTGGCAGTTGTTCATGGTCTTAATATGAAAAAACAGCAGAACGCTTGTCAATTGGGATCTTTAATGCCTAATCATATGCTCAGATCTATACGTCAATTACCCCTTGAAACACATTTTCTTCAGCAGAGCCCGATAATGCACACAATGAAACATTTTATTACAACTGTGTTTGTATAGTAAACCGTGTACAGTATTCGGAAAAAGCATCTCAAAAATGAAATTAACTTCCTCTACCATCACTAAACGACCATTTTCTCTTATTGGTTGCTCTGTAGGACCGTATGTAAATAGTGACAGTGAGATCTACATAAGCTCCGATAAAATATAGACTAGAATAATTATCGTGTTCAATAACGGCTCAAGTGTTCAACTTGGCTGGACATGGGCGAAGTTCTACATAAGCCGTCTCCCGGTGATTATACAAAGGAATGACTTCGTCGGGAGCTTAACCCTGCATGCAAGAAAAAAGGAATGGAAAAAAAATGCAGAAATGTACGAATTAAAAAAAAAAAAGAAGACGAGAAAAGTGAACGCCTAGCTGAATGGGTTTGATTGACGTTCCGCAAGAATTGTTGCGGTGGATGGTTAAACACGCTGCTCGGGAATAACACGACGCGGGAGCTTCATTCATGGAAGATGATGACGGTCATTGCAACGACGGAGAATGACGCAACGCTGTCTGCGCATGCCCTTCGGCACGCGGCATTCGATCCGCCGCCGCACTTCCGGACCTACCAAAAAAAAAAGGAGTAGTAAAAAAACACATACACACACACACACACAAACACACAGCACAAGAACTTGCAACCACCTCACTGTAAACCCCCTTGGGGGTTTGAACAGGAATGGACAAAAAGATGGGGGAGGGGAGCGATTTTTTTTCCTGCTCCTGTTTCGGAAATTCCGACGATGGGCTTTCTGAAAGTTGCCGAGAGCCTTATTAATTCTTGGATCGCGTTGAAAGAAGCACCTCCTTCGCCGAAGCTTTTGATGGATTGAAAGAACTTCATCGCGTGTCTTTCATTTCCGCTTCATTCAACGCTTGGGTTCTAAAAGATAATTAAAATTAAAACGCGAGAACTCTCGAATAAAAAAATAATTCGAACGCTAATTAAATGAGGACTGTAGCGGTTACTTTGAAAAGTATACAGACATCTTTACATCATATTTTTCAGAAAGTTGACTACATCTTATATGAATTAAAAGAAATGCCTTATTTTCAGAAGAGCACAGCAAGAAAATCTACAGGTACCATTGAAAAAGTGCGGCAAAAATTTCATGAATCAATATTTTTCAAATTTGTTCAAGTTCAAAAGCTGAAAATAATTGCCTATAGCAATGAAAAAAAATCATAATAATTTAGGAGAGCTTGGAAAGACTTAGAGAACGAACAAATTAAAAATCTAGAAAAAAATCAAATGTAACCACATTCACGTGAACTCCTAATAAAACGATAAACAATTATTTTATAAATAGATTTTTTATGAGAGGCATCATATCCAGATCACCGTCAGAAAATCGTGCACTCATTATTCCCAATTTATGGTCACATCCTGATTTGTATACTTCTCCATATCTTACAAGTTGCAAATTTATTCCGATGAAGATAAATCAAACGATATACGATTCCAACGCGAAGAGGAAAAAAGTCTCTCAATACGATGATTTGAAGCACAAAAAATCAAGAGACGCTAGATTTTCTTCATCATTCAAATCGAAGAAAGCAGTCGCAGAATATATTCTCGAAGTCCATTAAAAATTGACGTCGCTGTTTAAATATACTTTTTTCGATATTTCGCCAAAGTTCTGTGCTGTTCATAGCCCATGCTTACTTTTCATCGGTCGTTTCAAGAAATTTTCAGCAAAAATAATGTGCCAACTGAAACCTTTTACTTCAAATCATCCATCTGAATGATTTGAATTTTCAAGCACCCCAATTTGACAGCTTTTAATGCATGAATAATACAGATCGAAGGAATAAGTGCCCAAATTATTGTCGACGGCTAAACTACGATCCTGTTCAAGCCACTTATTGTTTGTATAAAAAAAAAGAACAACAACAAAAAACACGCAAAAATTTGGCGAACCTTTCGGATGAGCGAACAATGAAATTCGATCCCTCGAAACAGAAAGAGAATGGCTAAACGTGGAATAGGAAGCCTGTGAAGAATTTACGAGTCTCATATTTCTTCCTTTTGCGTCTCGGAATGTATACTAATATATCGGGGGTGTTATTAGTATCCATGTTTTTTCTTGGGGTGGTGGAGTTCAAACGGTGCGGCAATATCAGTGCCGGGAGCGAAATGCCCGCGGGGGACATACCGGGGAATCCGAGTCGGATTTCCTGGTCTGAAAATTTTTCCCCCGGGGGCTATTCAAAGAGGTGAGCCGCAGTTTTTCACCCTGACGCTTTTGCCAGAGTCGGCGACGGGTTCGGTCATCAGTCACTTTGTTCCCAGCCACGGGTTCTGATGGTTTCAGAAGCAAGTTTGTTTCTTTTTTGGAACTGCGTCACAGCAGCGATTCATCTTTTGACAGGCCGTGAACGAGTTCCTTTTCATCGAGGCGACAAACAGCAAAAAAAAAAAGGGGGCTCTTCCAACGAATGCTAGGTTGAAAATGAAAGGTTCACTAATGAAAGAATTCATCCACTTTGAATTGCCACATTTAAAATGTTTTCATCGATTTTTCTAGCAATCTAAATTCCCACCAAAGCAGAAGAAAAATTGTCATTTAAAATAAAATAAAATTTAACAATCACCCAAGGAACTCGGCCTTAGACCTTCCAGCAGAAAGCCTCACAAACGGAATAAAATCTCTGTTTTCCCTTTAAAAAAAATTGGAGTCGAGAAGAAAGTTTTGAATGATATTGTAAGGAATTAAAAATATTGAAACAGCTCACTAACTAATTCAAACGTGTTCGGGGATAATAAAGTTTTACAAACTTATTTTGCCCGCATCAGAATCAAATGTCCGGCTCATCAAAAATGTCGGAAAGTTTTGTCATCAACTTGTGGGATACGCAGGAATTTTCAGCAAACATTAATACTGTACCTTCAACTTACCTTCCGAATCTTTCGAATAAATCGTTGATCGTCAAAATTTTAATACTGTATACAAAAAACTGTGAATGTTTCGCCTGCCTCGCTCAAGCAAAATTTGAACGTGGGAAAAATTACTGTGCATTTATTGCACCCGCTTTCTGAAGCGTTTCTCATGTCACTTAAATCCTTTTTATACTGAATTTTCCGAAAGTCAAAGGACCATAATTTGACTGATACATTATGTGGGATCTTCCCAATCGAAGTAGCAAATTACGGAGAGCTATAGACAAGCTGAACACAGCATATCACCTGTGGGATACCGACACATCATGTTGTGCTCGTCTGTATAATTTGAGCAGCCTTTTGCTGCTTTAAAAAAAGCATGATATCATTAGGAGTCACTTTTTGTCTAAATTTTTAAATCTGCACGAATAACGTGACTGAAGTACGAAGCTTGATTCCTGTTTTATTTATCTTTCTATCATTTTCTGGCACAATACATTAATGTTTTTGATATGCATGGAAGGGACATAATGTACTGTACAATGATTATTTTTATCTCTTTACTTCTAAATTATGTACTCCAGTTTTTGTTTCAAGTTTTGAAGCTCTTTTAAAGAACTTCGCTCAAAATGGGTTAGATTTAAATTCGATGAAAACTTGCCTCATTTTAAAGAAAATCATGAATACCTGAATATACTTCTGACAAATTAAAAACACTGGCCACTGAAGTAATGCACAGTCCTGTTTTCCTGATACGTAACAATTGACGATATCGAGTAATCCAATTCTAAGTCTTACGTTTAATATGGTAAATGTCGATCATAAAAATAAAATTGAGATTACAAGATACATAAGCGAGAGGTAATGCTTTCTGCAAGTGGCAGAAGTTTATGTAAGTGTTTTCAATGCTCATTCAATAAAATCGAATCGAATTTGGCTCATCAAACGCTAGGACCGAAAAAGCAGCTGTCTGCTGCAGCACGAATTTTTCTAAGAGTGACAGACTATAAGACCTTATTTTCAGTAATTTTATAAGTTAAAATTTACCATATTTACTCAAGTACTACACGCTTTTGGGAAGAAGCGCACCTTGATTTTCTAGCTTTAAATTTGGTTTGAAAATATGTTTCATACTCAAAGAAAAGTTCAACCCATTTTAATTTCTCTGCCTCTGTTTTCTATTTTATCTGTAAAATTATTTCTCATAAGTCCGCTGATTACAAGTACCAATAAAAATTATGGAGAAATTTCAAATTCTAGTCAGACCCACCTTCTTATATTTAACCCAAATTTCTGGAAAAAAATAAAGGTTCGCATGGTATTTTCGAGAATAATGTAATTTAGGCAATTTCGATTATCCCCCTAATGGAAATGCAATGCAAGCATCGAACAAAATTGATCATTTTACCACGTTTTTATGAACTCACTTTCTCGTCCTTGTAGGACTGTTTTCCTGTTCTCCAAAATAACCATAATTATTACAGTCCGGTTTCTACCTCTCGAGCGTGCGGTTCATCCAAAACTTCGCGAGCGAATTCACTTGAGTGTCAATTGCTATTTTTACCTGAATATATCAACCTTATAATAGGGTGTTCTCACCCCGGTCGCAGCCCGACCGAATTTCTGTGTTTTATTCAAACCTACTCACTCAAAATGAAATAGATGCGCACCACATTTACGGTTTTTTTTTTGCTGTTTGAAAACGTGGTTTTTTAGATTAATTTTTTAATCTACTATAATTTTGACACTGATAAAACTTCTCTCGGACTTCCTCTATGAAGCCGCGCATAAATTTCTCGAAATGAGGATCTTCTTATACACGGAACTGTATTATGAAATCGTTGTTTCTTTTGAAAGCCTTCAAATACAGCCACTAGAGTCATTAATAAAAAAAACATAGCTGAACTACATTGAACAAGCCGCCTTTGAAATCAGTGGCAGAACAAAAGTGGTTTACAACCCAGGCCATGGGGACCACGCCTCGAAATTGAGCAAACGCTTCGGGGTCTCATACTTCATTTTATTTTCTACTTTGTAAGCCAGTCAAGATCTTTCATGAAGAATAAAACAGTGTGGAGTCACCCGCAGTGACGAACGATTATTCCTTCGAGATGTCCTCTGCATCAAATACGACGGGTCATCCAAAAGTTGTGAAACTCAGGATTTTGCAGTTACCGGAAGTGATCGAAAAAAAACAATGCAAAATTTCTTCTTTGGTCGAAAAAAAGCAATCGCACCCATCCATCCAGGTTGAAAGATAGATGCGTAAACGGCAATTACTTGAATAATTTCTATTTTTTTTAATATATTGGGCCTAAGTCAGGAGGACGTTTTCGAAAGCATTAAATTTTTGAAACGGCAATTCTTTTAAAAGGGCTGATGACGTACATTCAACAGCAGTTGGGGGAAATTCTTACAAGCAGATCATGAGATGTGACAGAAAGCTTTTTAAAAATAAAATAAAGATACTTTTCCATAATTCTGCCTCGTCATCAAAACTTACAGGGAATCCCTTTCAGAAGGAAATCACAGTAGCGTTTTTCACATATAGGCTTCTGCAATGAGGCCATTAGGTTTTTTTCCGCATGCAGGCGGTCGAATATTATATATATATAAGCTTGGAACAATTCTTATTCTTCATTTCCCTATACTGTATAAGCACCGCGAGGCGCCAGTATATTTCATTTGCTGGGTTTCACTATCAAGAAAAAAAATGATGCAGAGCATTCAATGCAGAATCACAAATCAGGGTTGGGCAAGGTCTTGCAAAGAAAAATGCATTGCTAACCCGCATCAACGACCACACACGAATACACGAGACCAATTTGAATTCCTTGTGACGATCTATTATGAAAAATCACGATTTTCCTGTCAAGTCCCATAAGACCTGTCAGGAATAAACCCAACAGATAAAGATTTAGGAAGGAAACCTTAT